ATTACGCTAACTGCTGGTTCCCCTTTTTACAAGTTTATTCATTGATTTTTTTTTTCCCCCATGAATGAGAGAGACAGAATGAGAGAGAGAGAGTTGACACCTTGATCAGGTTTCCTGACTGTTTGGGGCTGTCTCCATAACCTTCCCATGTGGGTCAGCTTCACAGGAAGTCATGTGTTACCACCGCAGCACCCACCAGCCCCAGACATCGGTCATTTTCTCCCTGCGTCTAGGAGCCCTGGAAAGACCAGAATTGCATTTCATTAGCAAAGGCCAGGCTCTTGTCTCATTGACCTTGTATTCCAACAGGTGGAGCACGGTGACTGGCTTATAGGAAATGTTCGAGAAATTGTCAGCACTACAGTGACCGAAGGCTTACTTCATTAGGTCCACACAACAGTCACGGCAGGAGGGTATGACAACTATTACTATCCTCAGTTTTTTTATGCCAGAGGGCACATGCACATGTCAGAGAGAGAGAGAGAGAGAAAGAGAGAGAGAGAGAGAGCGCTCTCCCCTACCCCCCACGGGGCTTGGTCATACTGCAATGCCATTTCCTCCATTCCTTCTTCCTGCCAGGATCCTAGGCTTGTAGGCACATGTACTAGGTGAGTTTTTCAAGCCACCGGGCCAGGATTCGAACTACGGTCTGCAATGCAGGGTCTGGCTCCCTTCACACAGCACTTAATCTCTGCACTACAGGGCTGGCCTGACTACCATCATTTTACAACTGAGAACACTGAGGCTTACGGACGGGAAGTAACTTCCCAAGGTCCACAGCCAATAAGTGGCTGAACTGAGACTTCGACCTGGGCGTGACCAATCCCAATACGTTTCCTCTTCTTCTTTTTAAGTTTATCTTTTCCATGTGAGAAAGAGAGAGAGAGAGACAGAGTTAGCATCTCCAATAGGGTCCCCACACTATGATCCACCCCGAGCTTCAGCCAGCCCCAGATCATGGGCACGCACCTGCCTGGTGTGCTCAGGGAGGTCTCTGGATGCCAACCTGGAACTTTCCCCCGTGGATCAGCCTCATGGAGCATCGCATTCTATCGCTATGCCACCATCGGGCCCCCAACACTCATCTTCTTACCCACTGCGTGAGTTTCCTATCACTGCTGCAATAGATTGCCACAAACTTAATGGCTTAAAGCAATACAAACTTGGGACCAGCAAGCAGGTGGTATCGTGGTTAAGGTGCTGGTCTCCCGCATAGTCTACCACAGTTCAAGTCCTGGACCTGGTGGTTTGAAGAGCATGCTGGGTGTGTGTGCGTGCATGCCCAAAATCCCAGGAAGAAAAGGAAAGAGCGATTGTGGCATGACCATTTCCCCTGGGGGGTGTTTTCTCACTTTCCCTCTCTCTGGCTGTTACACGTGCCCTATGGCAAAAACAGAAACAAACAAAGAAACAAATCCATGAACTTATTATCTTGTAGTTCTGGAGGTCAAAAGCGCATGCGCCCTATAGCAAATAAATGAATAAATACATAAATAAATAAATTTAAAAAAATAAAAAAGAAAAATAAAAAACTCTCTAAAAAATGTTCAAAAACACCCCACGGGGGATACCTACAGGATAGAGCTGGTTGCCCTCGGAGGTTTACGCACCCTTTATGGATGTCTGTCTCTTCCCTCTCTTACTTCCCCACTACCCTATTAGGGTTTCCTGGGACCACGTTGCAAGTAAACCACCCACACCCAAGTTCTTGTCTAGTTTTGGGAGAAGAGCACACTGTTCTGAACCACCCATTCCTTCGTTAACCTGTCCCATTGCTATTTATAAGAAAGATGGTGCAGATGGGACCAGCAGTTAGGGTAATGGCTATGTCACTGGACTCCCATGTAGTCGACTGCAGTTCG